CAGGAGTGACAAAATTTACTTCACCACCTTCACTTCTTACTCCTTCTCTTCTGTTGGCCAGTCGGGAAGCCTATAATAGTGATGGATCAATATAAATGTGGTGGGGAGGGGGTCTAGAGGAAGTAGGCAAGCTTCAACACCACCTAAAAGTGTTGCAGTTTTTCCCATTTGTAACTATTCAGGATTCAGGCCCGGCAGGATAAATATGCAGGTACTGGAAAAGCACTGCCATTTTGTATCGAAAAAAATAGCCAAGAAGAGCCACATAGCAGACTAAGGGAGCCTATGTATAATTTATAATTTAAATAATGTACAAAAATAAACAGTACAAATTCAATAATCAAAAACCTTCACTGCCCCAGAACACCCCTCGTTAAAAAAGCATTGACAACGTTGCCAAAACCACACACACCTGTTCCACACTGACCACATTCTTTACTCTTAAAAAATCCATAAATAAATCACATGGATTTCTTAAATCCTAACAAGAAAGGAGGGGCCCACGCCTATATTGAGCAGCACACTGAAGAATATAAATATAAGAGAATGACACTATCCCACATTGGGGCGACCACCTAGTGTGTACCTATACTGATTAGTTCACAGGCAAGAAGTCCAGGAGCTTCTTATGTACCAGTGTTTAATATTTTATAGTTCATTCACAGTATTCCAATCTTAAACAGTTCCTGCCCTCATGCCAAGCCTTGTCTGATTTCAGGCGTGATTGAATCCACCAGACCCACAGTAATCTGTATGCGCTCATCACATTTATCACAGCATTAACTTGTCTGAGGCAAGTCATACATATGTAGCAGACAATATTGTATTGTATTCATCCACTTTGTTTAAACAGCTGGTCTTCACAGGCATAGTAATCAGTATCCACATATGCTCCAAACTTAGGGAAAGGGACAACAATCAGAGTTATTTTAAGCCACAAGCAGCTCACAAGTAACACATTGCAGACTTTCAGTAGCAACTGTATTATTGTCCACTGTTCACCTTCATGAAAAGTTTTACCATTCATCTCTGATCTCAGTGACGGCACCAGTATTAGTTGTTTACAATAACAAACAGTCCACGCATGAGCTCTTACTGGCTATCAGCAATAGCTATATCATTACCTACAGTCCACTTTATGGAGCACATTACAGCAAACACTTGTGAGGCATTGTGGGTTAAAAATCTGTGGATCTCCACAGTGCCACTTACTTGCTCAGTATCAAAAATACCACAATGATTTGTTTGTAGTAATGGTCCCACAGCTATGATGAGCAGGGGGTGGACAGATGCAGGAACAAACATCAGTGTGTTTTGCCCCTCCCACTCTGGGACTTCATCAGGATGTAACAGAGGAGAGCTGTACCATTAACCCTTACCAAGTTCCTAAATGTTAAACCAGTGTGTGCTCCTCTATTACCCATATTAAAATTGCTTGCATGTGTGAAACAAAATAAAATCTCAACATAATAGACTGGGAGATCATCCTTATACTAAATTCCTCATAGGAACACTTATAAATTAAATTCTGTGTTTAAGCCAAAAGGGACTTCTGTGCACCTGCACATTTTATATGCTAGCAGATTTATATTTTTTCTAAGGGGTCTATTCACAAAGCAGCCGAAGGATCTAGCCGTAGCTTTGTCTGATGCTTCGGCTAGGTTCGGCCCCAGGACTCCTTCAGTTCAGTAGAACCGAAGGGCTGCTGTACAGGCTATTCACTATAACCCGTACAGCTCCCGAAGTCGGCCGAGGATCTAGCCACTCGGCCGACAGCCTGCTTCTGACCTCTGGGCGGAGCCAGCCGTGATCTTACGGCTGGCTCCGGCCACTTGCAGAGAGATCAGCGTCCCTGGTTACCAGCTAACCAGGGACACTGATCTCCAGACAGCAAATTCTCCCGGGCACTCCGGGAGTCTCCCATTCACGGCCGCCCAGGAGAGAAACACTGCTTTTTCTTTTTTTATTCTGACATGGAGCCATTGGCTGTCGTCAGAAAAAAAAATCACCATAGGAATGCATTGCTAGATTCCTATTGGCTGTTTCAATTTGCAATAGCAAACTAGCTATTGGACCCGCCCACTGCTGCTGTCAATCAGCAGAGGGGACCTGCAGTTCTCCATCAGGTCCCAACTAATGATTGACAGCAGCAGAGGGCGGGTGCAATAGCTAATTTGCAAATTGAAATAGCCAATAGGAATCTAGCAATGCATTCCTATGGCGAAAAAAAAATTCTTTTTTTTGACGGCAGCAGAACCGCCGGCCAATAGAAAACAGTTGGACGGAGCTAGCTGTCACTGCTAGCTCCGCATAATCGTTTTCTATTTTTTTTGCTACTTTTTTTTACTATTTTTCCGTTCTGCTCGGTCCCACAGAGGGACCGAACAGAACAGCCGAGCCAAATGTTGCTCAGCGGCATTCGGCTATTTACTCACTGCTGTTCGGAATCTATAAGAATAGACCGAACAGCAGCGAGTAGCCTGCCGGAGGTTCGGCTTAGCCAATCCAGATGTTGGATCGGCTAAGTCGAACTCCTTCTGCACTTCATGCCGAGCATGTTCGGCCGACCCGAAGCCATCCGATGTACGACTGATTTCAACCAATATACAGCTGAAATCAGCCGTACAAACCTGAAGTGAATAGCCGAAGTGATATATATATATATATCTATCTATATGTATATATATA